GATAGATAGATAGATAGATAGATAGATAGATAGATAGATAGATAGATGATAGATAGATGGATTTCTACCGGTTCTGTCCACCTCTGTAGAACCGGTAGCTCTGAAGAGCAGCAGACATTAGAACCGGTTCTATGTCTGCTGATGGTTTTGCCCACCCACCCACCTGGGCTCTTACCTGATCTTTATTTCCTGATTTTTCAACTTCAGCTGCCGAATGGGGCACAGCTGCAGTTTAAAAAGCAAGAAAAGAGGGCTGTTTCAAAGACTGCTTCTCAGCACGCAGTGTGCTGATGACAATTTACAGGCGCGCGACTCGCAGCATGCAGGGAAGCACATCATAAATCACCGAACCTTGTAAATCCCGAACCGGTAGTTAACCCTGTCGTATCCCACCCCTGGATAGATAGATAGATAGATAGATAGATAGATAGATAGATAGATAGATAGATAGATAGACAGACAGACAGACAGACAGACAGACAGACAGATGTTAGATAGTAGATTTTATGTGAAAACCAAGCAGCTTACTGGAAGGATTTTCAAAAGTTGATCACTTCAGATTTATGATCTTTTCTCATCTCAATGGCTTTTAAATAAATATGGAAAACCCTGGGCAGAATACCTCAAAATTTATCATAGGGGGACTTCCGGTTTGAAGGGCTTCGGTGACAGACAGAAATCCACGATCGTGCGCGGTTTCTGTCTGGGCTCGCCGCTGGAGCGCCCCGAGCCAGCTGGTTTCGGGGCTAAGCCACCCCGTAGAGGTGGTGAAGAGGGGGGAGACCGCCAGCAGGGTCGAGGAGAGCCGCATCTCTCCTCCTCAGCTGGCCATTACTCCCTTTCCCGAAGGTGGTTGCAGCGGTGGTCAGAAATGGCCACCACAAAGAAGAACTTGACCGGAAAAGAATGTGCAGGAGAAAGTGCATAAGAAGAGAAAGTGCATAAGAAGAGAAAGTTTTGTTGACCAGGTCAAACAGCAAAAGCAACAAATAAGGTATCCTGGAATTTAAACTTACAAAAAATAACATCGCTCCCAAAGAAGAGTCGGAAGCAGCGAAGGAAAGTGAAAAGGGAAGGGGGTAAAAAGGGGAGAGAGAAGAAGAGAGGGAAGAAGGAAAGGAAAAGAAGTTACAAAGGACTGGAGCAAGATATAGAGAAACAAGACCTATTTAGGGATAATGGGTGAAAATCTAACTGAAAAAGGGATTCTGTAAAGGTACATAAGATTGTATTGTTATATTAGTATTGGAAATAACTTTAGAAAATTGGAAACAACATATGATTAAAATGAGGGATAAAATAGTTAGTGTAATTTAGTGAAATGTTTGTGAATAAAATAAGTGAAATAAAATAAATGAGAAAATTGAATTAGGAAGGAACGGGAACATTTTAATTAGTTAATGTTTTATAAAATATAAGTGAAGGGGGGGGAATTAACAATGGAAAGCTTATAATTGTTCCCATAGAAGTATGATATTTAATTGAAAAGTAATGTTAAGGATATTAAGACTTTAATGAATATTAATATTAATTATAGAATTGAATTGGAATGGAATGTTGTTTTAACTATATACATTTATATTTTTTTCTTTTTTTAAGAACACAGTGTGTATTTTAAGAATGTACCAAGCAGAATCCGAATTGAAGTTATGTATTATATTGAATGTTACAACTTTAGGGAAAAGATATAAAGGCATCATACTCCAATCAGTAACTACAGGAGAAATTTTGTTTAATGAGAAAAGATAATAGATAATTGAAACAGGACAGACAAAAAATATAAATACAATGATTTGAATTGAGATGAGATAATTAAAATAAAATTGAGAAAATTAATAGAGCGGAGAAGCTATGCAGAAAATGTAAAATAGTAATAAGATATGGAATAGAATATAAAAATGAGCATGAACCTGAATTTGTGTCTGTATGAAGAAATGTAACCCGGGATTATGCTGCTTTCAAAAAAGATGTTTTACTTGTATTTCTTTTCTTTTTGTGAAATAAATAAAATTTACAAAATCAATTTACAAAAAAAAAAAAATATATCATAGGGATCTTAAAAGAACACAACTGACTGACTCTCTCAAATAAAAGAGAGAGAACCAGCTTGGCCAGAGACCTTCCCTCTTCTCCCAGCCTCACAAGCTGGTAGCATAAAGGGAAAGAGACAGAGATGAAGCTGCAGAAAACAGAAACCTTCTGAAATTAGGGTTTTGTGCCTTTGAATAATCAGATTTTGTATTGTTATTAAAATAGCATTTGTTTACTTTATTTTTTTTTTAAAAAAGGAAAATGCTATGTCGGGAATATTAAAATGTCTTCAAATGTGCACAAACATGAAATTGGTTCACACAGTGGAGCCTTCCTTGTCCTCTCCCATCGATGCAAGGTGTCTTTTCTCAGTGTTCAGCTATTCCTACCCACTTGCAATTACAGAAAGTATCTCCAATCCTTACAAGAAGCTTTTCAGAACGGACACTCTCTTCCTCTAAAAGAATCCCAAAAGCATCCCAAAGAAAAACAGCAATAAGGAGTGATACACAATAAAATGACATTTATCTATACAATAATGGAAAAGGTCTTGTCAACATAGAAAAATGCAAACCAATATTTCAACCTTCTGTTAGATAGAATTTTGCTCCTCGGACAGGGATGTCAAACTCGATTTCATTGGGGGCTGCATCAGGGTTGTGTTTGACCTTGGCTGGGGTGGGTGTGGCCAGTAGCATGACATCACTTGTGTCAGGGGGCACCTGTGGTGGCCCAAGCACTCTGCCAGCAAAAACGGGCTCCTGAGCCCCATTTTCAGCTACAACATCCTCCTACAACCCTCTGCCAGTTTAAACAGAGCTCGGGGGGCTTATGCACGGCCCTTGTAAGCTCCATTTTCAGCTGTGACAGTTTCCTACAACCCTCTGCCAACTAAAACAGAGCTTGGGAGAGCCATGCACAGCCCCC